GAGAATGAATGAGGAAACAATCAGCACATACAGTATCTGAGAATGAATGTTTCATCATAGTTTTCTCAAATGGCATACTCCAGCACTTTATACCTAAGACTTTATGTGTTTGATAGGAGTTTACGATGGCTGAGTTTGAATATCAAGTGGATGAGTTAGAATTCCGTATAAATGCTATAACACATCAACATGGTTTAACAGAGAAACCATTCAGTTATTTTGATGACAGCGATGGAACCTATGGTATTGGAGATGATGGAATATCTAGTGGTGGATCTGAGGTTAGGACAATATGTTGTATACTTCTGTTACATTGTGTATTGTTATTAATGCCCTATGTTTGCAACCCAAATAAATGATTTGAAGGCTTTAAAAAAAATTATTTGTTTTTGATGCACATGTCAGTTTTATCAAAATAAAGTAAAATAAAATAAACAGAAATGAAAGGAAACTTTAGTTGGGAAACAGAATTTGATGAAACACCTTGCAGATTAGATGTGTGGGTTTGCTTTCTCCGCTGTCAGTGGTAAGAAGGTTTTTTTTTTATCTAAGGAGGAAATGGCTTTCCCTTCTGAGGCTGCTTCTCTTATGCTACTTTGTTACACAGTGAGAAGCCTTGAGTTTCCTCTCCCATTGTTTTTGAATGAATAAAGATTACATAAACACTATTTTTCAATATGCAATTATCTTTATTCCAGATGCGAATATTCAATGATGCTAAATTTGAAGAAAGAATACAAAAGATAGAGGACAGTCTTTATGGACACAATCCTGAATTACGAGAACTTGTTGAATACAGCCAGTTTGAGGATGATAGGGAAAATCAACTCAGGTTAGAGAAATTAAAACTAGAAAACATTTTTGACTTTTATCATTACCTTAGAAATTCTTGGATAAAAACATTCCAATAATGTCTGCGCATGGGGGTTGATTACCATGTATAAACATTTGATATCAGAACGCCAGGAACCAGGGGAAACCAGCGAATAAATTATGCAAGCTAGAAATCAACCCCCCCATACTGATGGTGCTATAACTTGAAGCACGTCTATTGTATAAATATTGCAATAAAACACATTTAGCTTTTTTGAAGCGGTAGAGTAGTATATTGAAGTTGCATTCCTATTTTTCAAACTTGGAAGGTAATATTTTCTGATCAAACATACAAATTTTAAGATTGTAGATTAATAATTAGCTGCAGATTATTAAGCAAACCTCCTAAATTAAGCTAGATTTGTGAGCAATAAAGACTGAGTGGATGCTTTGTTTGTCAGATACTTTTAAAATAATTTTCCAATCTTCACAAATTGAAATGTGTGGGGGCAAGAGTGCGGACAGGATATCTACTCTTATATAATAGCTAAAACAGTATCATTTGAACACTGTTTTTTTAGTTTTGATGTTCTGGGGTGACTTTTACATATTCTTGGAAGCGGACATCCAGGCATTTTAACCGCTTGGCAACCATCACCATGAAAACAAAGGTCGAAAACTCTCAGAAAACGGTACTTTGAGATAGTTGTTGAGACAGTGTAACAAAATTACCACTGCATGTGCAGCATATATAGATTTAATTGTTCAAGATGACTCCAAAGTTGAGTTTATGTTGTTTTCTTGAATTTAGCTATTTTCATCAGCTTTTTTACCGGCGTTCCACAGCAGCTCACGTAGTAGTGTACATCTTAGCAAGCTCTGCCACTGAGGATTTGCAAAGTGAAAATTGTAAACAAAATTTGATTATTTGTACAGGTCAGAACTTGAATTAGAAATCTTCAGACAACTTCAGCTGCATAGGCAGGATGGACATCTGAAGATGGAACAGCATGACAGTGGTAGAGATTCAGTATCTGATCCACAGGAAATGCTGGTTGATGAAACATCTACATCCCCTCTGCCTTCATTGAAAAACAGTAGTGGTAAAATTGCATTTCCAAAACCATTGGCACCAATAGGTATATATATATTTATGATCGTTGTTTTCTGGGTTGAAGTGAATGGTGGCTATTTAGATTGTACATTTTTAGTCCTCTTTCGGACGAAGTCCGAAAACAGGGACTTATAATTCGGTCTCCGTGCGTGCGTCTGTCCGGAGCCATATTTCAGAATCCTTTGGACTGATTTCGTTCATTCACTTGGGACTTAAGTTTCAACAAGGACACGCTCGTGACAACCCCTCCACTTTATTATGAAGAGCACAAAGAGAACTTTCAAAAATTTAACGGGGACTGTGTCATTTTCAATGGCTTGTGTTAAATCTGATTTTTTGAGTTGTCTAAAACATTTGTGGAAGAAATTTTAGAACATTTTAGTTGGCATAGTAAATACAACAATATAACATTATATTATGATTCTAATGTTTTGCATAATTAAAGTAAACAACAATTACCTGGATTTCTTTCTTGTTTGTTCAAAATTATTGAATGGTGGTCGTCACACAGCTCATGTTTGAATTCCATGTAAATGATGTATTTTACATGTGTTGTATAACGTTGCTATACGAGTCTCATATCAAACATGATGTGACACAATGACCAGAACCAACAATTTCAAAATTGAAATGATAAAATACATTTAATTTGTAATGAAATGTAATTAACGATGAAACATTCAATGTTTAATTAAAAAGTGAAAATATACATTCAATTTAAAAGAGATCTAACCCTCATAATTTTTTTATTTTCAGGGCCCCTAGATGCATTACAGAATCTCACTGATGACACATCAGTGAAGAGTGCAGATACAAGACACACTTTTATTAAAGTTAAACCACAAACAAACAGTTATACTGATGATATAGACCAGCTGTGTGGTATTTTCAACAGTGAAAATGACAGTATATCATCTCAAGTAGGTGGTAAACAACCCTGCAACAGTGTCAAAACACAAGTCTTACCCAAGCTTTATTCAAGATATGACAGTTCCACATCGGGATATAACAGCGACAACATTCCAAAATCTACTAGTAAAACAACTACTCAATATTTACAAAAAGTTCCACCAGAAGAATTAATACGAGATGAACCATCTAATTCAGCAGGAAGTGATTCACAAAAACTATGTGAGAGTTTCCCAATGCTTAACGCTCTATTTTCATCACATGATAATCTATATGAGTCATCATCAGAGGATGAAATTACACAACTAACCTCACAGAGACCTAAAACATGCAAAGAACCTGAAGGAAGGAGACGACTCCGCAAAACTAAAACACGTGGAAAGGGAAAAGGAAAACGGAGAATGATGGTAGAAGATGATGGAATAACATTCAATGATGAGTGTTTAGTTTCTGATACAGACAATGATATACCAACAATACAAATGTATCCTTATGGTACCAGTAAAGATTGTTGGTGATTTACATAAACACAATGATATCATTGATAAATATGTGATACAATGTATTGCTATAATTTTATTTTTGCTACTGTGTTGTTATTATGCAAATATGTTTTTCTTTACCATTTTATTTCAACTGTAAGCCATAGATATTAGTTAGTATTAGTTGCCTTTACTACAATTAGTAATTGATGCAAACTATTTTATTCTATATTTTGTATATATAATATATAATATATATATTAAATATTTATTTAAGTTGAATTAATTTTCAATATGCACAATGGAATTTGTAAATGACTTGGATATTTCTATGTGGTATGAAGTAAGTTGATTTGTTGTATATACCAAAGAATTTGTTCCAGTATGATAATATAGCTTTATGTATTTACTATCATTGTTTTGATTTGAAAGTGTCAGAAGGAGGATGAATGTTAAGATATGTTTTTGACATATTTTTTAGTTTGATGTTAAAATGTTTGTTGTTTTCTTGACATGTTTATCCTAAGGTAGGCAAGCTTTAGAGAATTTTTATAGAAGTTTTGGACACATATTTTTTTACTACAATTTAAATTAAAAATACATCACCAAAAACAAATATTTTATATATTTTTGACTAGAGAGAAGATATGAATCATGAATATTGATAATGGTCATTATGTACATGAATTTATTTTTTCTTTTCATTATCTAATCATTGTCTAATTGTCGGTGATTATCAATGCTGATCATAATATTGGTACATTTTTTTAAATCATGTATTTTGTCTCAAGGATTGTTTTTCCAGTTTAGTGTCTTAAATGTACTTTTTAAACAAACCAGTATATTAATTTCATTTTACTAATTGTATAACAATGTATATAATGAATTTGTATTAAAATTTGTACAGTTAAATAGAATC